CTAAACTTTCAGTGCTGTTTTTCTGAAAGCCAGTCTTCATAGGAAAGAGTGGACAATGTGTAGGCAGGCTGTCTATTTCAGCCTAGGTAGGTGCTGCCCCACACAGAATGGGTAGAGTTGATTGTGTTTCTCGTATTTTTCCTGGCAGGTTTCTTGGGTCCGACCCACTGGTCCTGTAAGATTTTAAAAGGGACAGGTGTCCATATCCTGGGGCTCTTTCTGCTGCTGCCATTCCTGTTCTCATTACTGAGTCTGTCCTGCCTCCTGCAACATCCAGTGTCCGGAGTGTCCACTAATGAACATCTGGCTTCAGGAGCCTTCCTCAGCATAGGGGGATTGCTGGGACCTGCAGTCCACCCTGCAGATACCAACTGTGGATACTGCCACCTTGGACTTTAACAAAAATGGACTCTTTCCTGTGCAGGTATGCTGGGGCAGCCACAAGCCATAGTTAGGGATTAGGTTAGGGAAAGACTATTGCCTTTATTAATTTTTGTGGCAAGAAACTATGTCTTTGCCTGGTCTGAAGCTAATAAAGGGGTACAATGCAAGTAACCGGTACATTTAGTCTACAGCTCAGGTCAGTTCAAACACAATGGGGTATGAAGACAGCTCCTTAAGAGTTAACACAGAGTAACAAAGATTTAACAAGCAGTCCTAAGTGTGTGCCTGTGGCAAGTGGAATAGCAGGAGGAGTTGTTGTTGGCACTCTCTCTTTGACAGTCTATCTCCCATAGCAGAGGTCCCTGGCCTGGAGTCCGTGCTAGGTGCACAGCAGGACCCTCTGGGAGAGAGGTAGCAGAGGTACGCTGGACAGGTGGAGCGGGCAAAGGCTCTGCATGTCCCTTCTAAATGCAACATGTAACATTAATGGTGTATAATCACATCTAGAGAGCTAAAGCGATACTAAAGGTTTTTTTTTTTAAATTTTTATAAAATGACAAACATATCTATACTTACCTGCTGTGTGCTTTGGTTTTGCACAGAGCAGACTGGGTCCTCTTCTTCTTGGGTCTCTTGCTGGCCCTCCTGGTTCCTCCTTTCTCTCGGGTGCCCTCACAGTGAGCAGCCTGCTATGGGGGCATCTGCTGCTCCGTGTGTCCATTCACACATGGAGTAGTGGCTTGGCCCTGCACCCCTCTCTCCTGATTGGCTGACTGGCTGTGATTGACAACAGTCTTAGCCAATGAGGAGGAAGAGGCTGTTGTGCACATTGCTGGATTGCCATGAGGCTCAGATAAGTATTGAAGGGGCTGGGGGCACTGCTGCACACAGAATGTTTTTTACCTTCATGCATAGAATGCATGAAAGTAAGAAACCTTGAGCCTTTACAACCGCTTTAACTAAAGTTCAGTCATCTGTTCAAAGTAAAGGTACCCTATGTGCAGGATAGTGACCTGTACATAGTGTCTAGCATAGCCAGCGTAGCCCAAAAGAACTCACCCCGGGGTAGGCCTTGGTGTGACCAACACTTGGTGCCCAACGAGGAGGAGAACATGGCAGAGGTACCACCTGTCTACTACCCCACAAGCTTACAAGTGGACAGTGCAGGTTTGTGTCAGTCTGTTAGCTTTTAGAAGGATAGAGGGGGAACAGGGGAGTGCCTTGCCATCCTAGGCTATTGGGCTGTGTGTTTCGATAGGTGCAGCTCTTGTCCCTGCATGCAAGGGTGACCACAGAACACTGTAACAGAAAGCGGGCCACCCTAAAACAAGAAACCTGCAGCAGATGTCATGGCAATAGACAAAACAGGGACTTAGGCCAGGAATAAAAGACGAAGACATGCATACTCAATAAGTGATTAGTTATTCTGCTGAACGAGATTAAAAATTGAGGGTTTATGTAGCTAGGTGTTTGGCTAAGAATGGAGATTGATAGAAACACTGGCTGCAATTGCTCTCTGTAGCTGCTGCTCTGCAGTGCCGAACTAGTTAACACCTATCTCAGCAAGGGGAGGAAGCTGCTGAGCATGAAGTATTCAACTAATTGAGTCAGGCAGCAATGCACTGTGGGAACTGTAGTCCTGAGGAGAGATTCTACTGTGCAATGAAGAGCTTTTTGAACTACATTCCCCAGAAATGGGATTGCCAGGAGGAGTGGAGAGAGCAGCATTTTCCAATGCTGTACAGAACACAGCTTCCTGTGTGCACATCTCTGTCCAGCTTGCACCTCCAATGCTGAAGATCAGTGGCCTGAGTGGGATCCAGAGTGCTGAGTTTGGGGATGCTAACAAACAGAGTCAACTAGGTGCAGAGCAGAGATCTGACTAATTGCTGTGTGTGGCCAGATGGTGAGCTGCAATATTGCTGGAATTGGTGAGCTGCTGCTGTGGGGATTTACTATCTGCTGCTAGAGAAAGTGACTGAGCCCCTTAGTAACTGACCATACAGCTATCTAGCAGCCTAATTTTTGCCTGAAGGCTTGACTGGGACTATTCTCATATGCACCAGTGGTACAATTGGATCCCAACGCTAGCCAGCTGAAGAGTTAAGACTAAAGGCTGTCCCTTTACAGCTGCTACACAGAGACCTTCACCTATTACTTATGCTAAGGGATACCTCTCAGGGGACATTGCACCATATCCTAGCCATCCTCCTAGAGTGCACTCTCGATTGGTTATATTATTATTGTTCACATTTGTAGTTAATGCCTATATGCACTTTATTGCTGACTTTGCTGATTCATGAGTTAATTTCAGTTTAGCGGTACAGAACTGTACTCTAAGTTAACCTGGCATAGCGATTATACTGTCTAATGGACTGTGTCGGAACCTACCTTGTGTGTGTTCATTTATGCTCAAATCACTATTTATTCTAACCCGTACCAAATTTTTGAATTCATTTACAGTACCACTAGATAGTCTCGTGTTTATTTCCTGGTACTAATTCACAGCCAAAGGTTCAGTATCTATACTCGTGTTTTTTTATAAGTGCTTGCATTAACTTTAATTTAACGTGTGTCAGAGGGACCGAGGTTGTTCTTGGAGTTGTGACGTAGAACAGAGAACCCAAACTACGAAGTGACTCCTGCGGGGGTAATGCTACATTTAATATCACATTAATTTCAAAAGTTGTTTTTCAATATTGGTAAATATGCAATTTTAAATAAAATATTATCTGGTGATTCTGCTATGAACGTCCTTGTTCAGGCACTCTTCCAATCATATTCCTGAATTGTAACCCTGTCAAAGGGGTTTCAATACACATTATAGGCATGGCCCACTGTTGTCACCATCAGGAACGCTGTCCTTAGAAACACCATGCAGCCATCCCTAGAATGTATGTGGACAGGCAATGGCTGCAAAGAGGCTGCATGAGATCAGCAGCTCTGAAATACAACAAAGGATGAAAAAATGTGAAAACAATTATTTTATTAAAGGACAATTTGTTTATGATATACATAGCTTTGATAAACTAATTATCATTCATTTAGGCCTCACATCTATTTTTTACAATTATCACATATCAACACACAGTATGAAAAAAGACATTGATTAGGTCAGCTTTTCATAAATTATGTGTTTGTTTTGCAAGGGGCTAAATAGTACTCAAAACTCCCCTGACCCAATAAAACTAATCAATAAGTGCAGAAGGTAATTACTATATGCCATGTGCATTCACCCAAAATCATATTTCTTATCTTATTTAGAAGACTTAGAACAATGAAAACCGACTTCTGATATTATGAGGTTGGCTTACTGCACTTTGTTTTAATTTTTTATTGAAATAATATAGCAAATGTATTCTAAAACTATCATAACAGAAGAAAATATGCCTGAATGAAATGTGACTGGCAAATCAATTCCTTGCACAGTCATTGTGTCTCCCTATACTAATTTACTCCATTCATTAAGTGGAAGGCTTCCAATCCATTTTAAATTTAGTTATTGAATTTGCCATCATTACCTCCACAGATAATTCACCCCTATGGCCCTTTTACACCATTGTGTTAGAAAATGAAAATGCATTTTGTTAAACACATGGTGTTCTTTTAATTTGGTTGGTTAAAATGTACTGTATGTTTTTAGTGTGTTTTACATTGTTAGTACATTACCATTGACTATATTTTAACACATTTTTTTCCAAAAAGTGCATATATGATTCACCAGGTAGGATCTCTGAAAAATCAACAGCGCTGTACTGTAATGTAATGCACCGATGTAAAAAGCTTCATAGATTATATTAGGAAGTATTTTCTCTGCACATTTTGGTCACAGTGAACATGTGTTTGAGTGCAGATACAACACGATGGTGTGAATGGGTCCTTCTGTTCATCATTAGTGCAGCCTTATAACATACTTTCATATAACACATTCTGGTAAATTCATAAAGGGTATCACAGACAACCTTTAGAATTCCGTTGGAACGCAATACTAAAAGTGCCTGTGCTGACACCTGATTTATATACCCGGCAGAGACAAGTTCATAAATCTGCTGGTGCTTGCATTGAGGTTGGAGTGTCCATATTGGACACTCCTTCCTCAGTGTGCCCCCCACCTCTTTGGCACATCAAGGAGGCTGATAGGCAACTGAGAGACTAGTTCCGCATCAGGTCTGCCTTGATTCTGATTGACAGTGCAGTGGGCAGATTCAAAAATGGACTGAATAGGGACCATTGACCCACCCACTGCTGTGCTGTCAATCAACAGCAAGGTGGACCTGATGGAGAACTAGTCTCTAAGTTCCCCATCAGGATCTACCCAACCAGAGATGAGTTATTTCCCAAATAGGGGAATTGCCATATTTGGGTAATGACATCACCTGTAACCCCGACCTCTTTATTTACATTTAGCTGCTTCCCTGGCCAACAATTAACAGGACAGTAAGCCCTGGTTCACACTGAATCTGACTGAATCTGACAATTTCATAGCTGTAGATCAGAGCGATTTGTACCTTCGAATTCACTGCGGCTTGCGACTTCATTTAACAGAAGTCAATGCAAGTGAATGAAATTGGAAAAAAACAGTAGGAACTATTTTTCAAATCGCGTTACTTCAAATCGCACTGATTTAGACAGTGTCATCGAAAGACATTAGATGTGACTTCAGGTACGATTTGTAAAACGCATGTTGCACCCAGGGGTGGACTGAAAACTCATGGGGCCCCCGGGAAATAGGGGATCATGGGGCCCCTGTGTCCTCGCCCACACCCAAAAAAGCCTATGAAAAAGCCAATGAAAGGTACCAGGGGAATCTCATGGGGCCCCCTACTGACCCTGGGCCCTGCCGAGTGTTCGAATGGTCAGTCCGCCCCTGGTCGCACCAGAAGTCATACCGGGGGTGAACCAGGGCTTAAGTGTGGGATGCTGTCACATACATGACAACTTCCCAGCACAGACATGCCCCACTCTGAGTACAGGAGTATCTCTGTATGCCAGTTCAGAGTCGGTCTTAAAACTATCAGTTTCCTAATCTGAGAACTTGGCAGTAATTCTTTAAGATGTTGTTGCTGCCATAGCAATGGATTCTTAAAGTGGCGGTAGTAAGAACTACCTGAATTTCTCGCATCTGTTGGTAATGTTACCTACACTGGTGCAAATGCTTGCTTGAATTAAATGCAGATAGTTCTTAAGGGAATTACCACCAGCAAATTGGCATTAGGACTTTCTCGAATTGTCCTTGTTCTGTGATATCCATTTTCTTCTTACCCATACTTGCTATCCTGGACAGTCTATGCAGTGCAGGTCACAAAAACCTTAACCACTTCCTGTGGACACTTTTACCCCCTTCCTGTCCAGGGCAATTTTCAGCTTTCAGCGCTATCACACTTTGAATGACAATTGCGCGGTCATGCAACACTGTACCCATATGAATTTTTTACCATTTTTTTGAGACAGATAAAGCTTTATTTTGGTGGTATTTATTCACCGCTGGGATTTTTATTTTTTTTTACTATGTAAATGAAAAAGTCCAAAAATTTTGAAAAAAAGTGTTTTTTTTAATAAAATTTTGCAAATAAATAATATTTCATCATAAATCTTGGCCAAAATTTATTCCGTTATTTTTTTAGTAAAAAAAAAAAATCCAAATTAGTTTATAACCAAAAAATATAATTTTTAAACATTTTTTTTTACATTTTTTTTTATTTTATTATTTTTATATTATTATTTTTTATTTTATTTTATTTTTTACATAATGTCACCCTAGCAGTACAGTGTCACCATGGTGACACTGTACTACTTGTGGGGGGTAATGAAGATTTTTTTTTTTACACTGATTGCTTTTACACCCATATAGGGTGTAAAAGCAATCATTTCTCTTTCTCTCTGTCTGCATTCTTGCAGTCATTGAGAAATACTGAGTGAGCTGTGATTGGTCACAGCTTGTCACATGGTACAAGGCTGTTGTGAATAGCCTTGTACCATGTGACCTCTGTGATCATTCACAGATTTCACACGTAGTAAGCAATGATGTCACAAGTGACCTCTTGCTTACTACTTTGCATGTGATCACTGATTCGCCAATCAGTGATCACATGATCGGGACCTCGTACAGAGGTAACGTCCGACGATCGGTGTTTCACTGTGTCCGGAGGACACAGCGGGCACCGGATCGCGGTGGTGTGCGCTCCCTGGGAGCGCGCACAGCTAGAAAAGGCGGGTGCCGTTTAGGAACGGCAACCCGCCCCTGGACTGCCACCGCCCTGCCGTTTATAAACAGCAGGCGGACGGCAAGAGGTTAAGAAGTGAAGAAAAGCAGGCAAGGAAATCTCCCAGGTAAATGAATAACTGTTTAACTAGATCCCACCCAGCCTATAGACAAATGATGGCTGGGCAGGAGCTCTCTCATTCTGGGTTACGCGTCATATAATGTCCTTCCCAGAACTCACCTCGCGCAGGTGCCACAGGCCGCAATGAGGCATGATCTGTCACATAATGTGTCCACCGGATACAGCCAATGACAGATCACTGTACCATGCTGGTACCATGTGATCGCTGTGACCAATCACAGCAGATCACATGACAATTCTACACAACGGATGGCTTTGTTCATGCCATCCATTGTGTACTATTGTGTTGCTCACTGTGATTGGTCATAGTGATCACATGGTACAGACAAGGCCAATCACAGCTCATTTGTACGAAGTGATTTGCTGTGGCTAATCACAGCTAATCACACCAAAACACACTGAATGAATCGATTTCATTCACTATTACAAGCAATCATAATGGGAAAAAAAATATTCCTAATCACTTCTCCAGAATAGTACAATGTTACTATGGTAACACTGTATTGCTCTGGTAAAAGTATGTTAAAAAATGTAAAACCCAGTGGTGATTAAATACCACCAAAAGAAAGCTCTCTTTGTGTGAACAAAATGATAAAAAAGTATTTTGGGTACAGTGTTGCATGACCGTAGAATTGCCATTCAAAGTGTGACAGCACTGAAAGCTGAAAATTAGCCTGGGCAGGAAGGGGATGAAAGTGCCCGGTATTGAAGTGGTTAAGATGGAGAAATTTCCCCTGGCTTTCTGTTCTGGTGATGGCTAATGATCAGGACCAGGGAACCTGAGTGTAAATGATCTGCGCAGCATGTATGACTTGCATTTGTCAGTTATTAAATAATGAGATCGGCCTTGTGAACTTGCCTACTGAGGTCTGATAAGTCAGTCTTAGGAAGGACAATTAGACTGTATATCACTGTGTTGGTCTCAAGTGCAGAACTTCACTTCTTCAACATTAATCTAAATCTGCAATCTCTTCATTTCTGTGAAAGTGTCTACAGGCTTTTATTCACTAATGGCACAAAGAAAATAAAGGAACAATGTATTTATTTACTACAGTTATATATATAGGGCCAACAGTTTATGCAGTGTACATTCACAACAGTCCTTGTCCTCAAGGAGCTTACAATCTAAGGTCCCCATCTCACATGCATACTTAGGACCCTTTCCACTGATGTGATTTTTGTGCAGTTTAAGAGCCCTTTCACACCAATGCGTTTTTGATGCACTCCTATTGATTGACAGTGGAAGGTGCCTTTTTGGTGTGCTTTATAAAATGACACCAAAGATGCAGCATATGGGGCTTTTCAAAACGCAGTGCACATGCAGTGTGGGCAGTTACCTAGGATTTTATGGGGAATAGTTTTTATGTACTTTTGTAACTCTGGAAAAGTGCAGCAAAAGAACACCAGTATACATACTGGGGCTAATTTAGACAGGAGACAATTAACCTACCAGCATGTCCTTAGAGTGTGGCACCTGGAGGAAACCCACACAAGCACAGGGAGAACATACAAACTTCATGCAGGTAGTATCCTGATTGGGATGCAAATTTAGGACCCTAGTGCTGAAAGGCAGAAGTGCTTACCATGAAACCACTGTGCTGCCCAATGACAAATTCAGCAGAATAGGCCCAAATAAAATCAGAAAAAATTACAAGCTGTATCCACTGGACATGATTTAAGATGTACTGGGGTAACCCGCTATACATTGAGGTTCAGGAAGTCGCTTCAAGTGTAGGTGTTCATACTGCTCCAACTCCAACTCTTGATCACCCCCCCTTCCCTTTTCTCTACTATCCCAACTCTGCAGACATTTTCCTTCTTAGCCTATCTCTATCTTTTGGGTCTTTTACTCTTGGTATACATCTTTCTTGCCTTGGTAAAGGCCTGAGGATTACTCTCTTGGTGAGGACCTACCGTACTTCAAAACTCACATTTTTACATTGATGCTTTACCTTAAAGTGTTGCTAAAATCACAACAGTAAAATCAGTCTGTATATGAAGTAAAGCATGCCTGCTATAATTACTGTGGAAGCTAAGGGGTTAATCCTCTGCATTGTGTAAAATTGTTGTTTGATCCTGGCTTCTCTGATCCTCCCCTTCTTCCAGTGCCCCCCTCTTACCTCCTGATAAGACATATCTTGTGGATTCACTCTGCACATGCTCAGTTTGGTGTGTACTGCTAGAGATCTTTTTTTGTTTCTCTTGGGAGAGTGCATGTGATCAGCACAGGGCCAATCAGCACTGTCCAGACAAAGGTCAGGGGTCCTGCTTCCTCCTAGTGCAGAATAAAAACTCCTCCTACAAGCTTTAATATGTGCTCGACTGGACACTGATAGAAGTCCCAAGACTGCCGATGAGAAAAAGTATTTAGCAGTTTGTATTTACTAAAATAATTGCATTTCCATGTTCTATGTACTGTGGGAGACCAGATATAGTGAATGCAGGGTCCTGGGTTTAGTAACACTTTAAATGTTGCCAGGCCCCCTTACTGAAACCTTGAGTACATAAAGCCCCCCCCCCCCCCCTCACTTACTTATATCTTGATCCCCATTTTGTATCCTGTGTCCAGATATGTACTCTTGTATGATCCTGTAGCCCCTTGTAAAAAAAAAAAAACAGACAGTAAATAATATACTGGAGAAGTTCGCTGTTGCCCTCTGTGTTGATTAATTCTCTGCAAACAACTCAATGTCTTCCTGCAGCTTCCCTCTGAATGATTGCTACAATGTATCTTTGTCAGAATCCCCATGACCGATAGGTGTAAAAATATTATTAAAACTGGCAATAATGATGAAAAATAAAAATCTATGTCTGTAACAATAATCCTTAGTAATCTCACGGGAGTCATTTTCTCTGTTACCTACCCAACCTGGTTTTTAAGATTTTTTTGGCATCCAGTGAGATTGTAACAAAAATTCAACAATACAACAATGATAAACTATGTCAATATAGTTCCACAAAGCAGCTATCTAATTTTGTCTTACATTTTGACATAGCCTATATAATCCCTTTTCATTGATAGGGTAGCGTCTAAGAAATGTAGTGAATAAACTGCTAAAGAGCCATTTGTTTCTGGAACTGTTCCTATTATTTGCAAGTTCCACAATTTTAAATTTCACACATGCAATGTTGCCATGAAGAATAACATGTTGACACACACTTTCTCCAATATTCTGCAGTCTCAAGGGTGTTGTTCAGCTTACTATTGCCTGAATTATTTACAAGTGTGAAACTGGTTCCTTCAACTCGTTAAAGTCCAGTTCAAGAGGTCATGCGACTGCTTTGTT